CGACCCCTGGTAGGGGCATCTAAACACCATGCCCTAGGTATACCGGTTAATAATGCGGATTTTTTTTCACTAGATGGAGTTACACATATGTTGATATATATACGATTTGATATGTATGCTATTTTGTTGTATTGACAACACGCTTCAAAACTTCATATGTCAGATTTTCTGAAGTGTTAACATCATAGATATTTTTACACTTAAAAATGTAGAATTCCATGCCAAAAAAAGAGCATTTGCGGGAAGTTTAATTCATTACTTTAATTTGAAGAAAAGTGCTGCTGAAAATTATCGTATACTTCGGGAAGCATATGGTGAACATGCTCCATCTCAAGATACTTGTGAACGCTGGTTTAAACGCTTTAAAAATGATGATTTCATTGTGAAAGACAAAGAACGTCCAGGTCAACCGAAAAAGTTTGAAGACCAACAATTACAAGCATTAGGATGAAGATGCATGTCAAACTCAAAAACAACTTGCAGAAAGATTAAACATTGCTCAGCAAACAATTTCCGGTCGTTTACAAGCAATGGGAAAGATTTTAAAGGAAGGAAAATGGGTGCCACATCAACTGAAAGACAAACGGAAAACCGAAAAGTCATCAGTAAAATGTTGCTTCAGCGGCACGAAAGGAAGTCTTTTTTGCATCGAATTGTGACTGGCGATGAAAAGTGGATTTATTTTGAGAATCCCAAATGCACAAAATCATGGGTTGATCCAGGTCAACCATCAACATCGACTGCAAGGCCAAATCGCTTTGAAAGAAGACAATGCTCTGCGTTTGGTGGGATCAGGAAGGTGTGGTGTACTATGAGCTTCTAAAACCATGTGAAACCGTTAATATTGATCACTACTGACAACAAATAATCAATTTGAACCACGCTTTGATTGTGAAACAACCAGAATGTTCCAGAAGAAACGGCAAAGTAATTTTGCTTCATGATAACGCACCATCACACACTTTAAAACAGTTCAAGACTCGTTAAAAGATCTTGCCTGGGAAGTATTAACCCACCCGCCGTGTTCACCAGACCTTGCTCCTTCAGATGACCACTTGTTCCGATCGATGGCACATGCATGTTGAGCAGCACTTCAAAACATACGAAGAAGTGGAAAACTGGGTCTCTGAATGGTTTGCCTCAAAACAAGAAAAGTTCTATTGGGACGATATCCACAAACTACCTGAAAGATGGGGAAATGTGTAGCCAGCGATGGACATTACTTTGAATAAAGCACTTTTGATATTTCTCTTGAAATTATCGTGTTTTCTTTGATTACAAAATCCGCCATTATTAACCGGTGCACCTAGTAATAAGTGAGGGTGCAGCCTGTTAGAGAATAACATTAAAATCTATGGTTGCACTGAAAATATCATTCAAGGGTAAATGTTTAAATTCAAACTTTAGTATAAGAAGTTTAAGCATTGTAGTTCACATGTAAAAAGAATAGCAACAACAAATCTAAGGAAAGGGGAGAAAGAAAAAAATGATGATAAAAGCGGAAAATACGGCAGAAAACATTGTGAAATTTAAATAAATGTGTCGGGCTGGTTATTAAAATGACTAATGAAAATGAGCAAAACTTGTCAAATGTAAGTTTTTAAAATGTAGCAAAATAGGACAAAAATGGAAACAAGAACTGAGCTATATCAGATGTTTTATTCAACTTAATCTGCATTAAGTGCCTGGTTTGTGTCAATGTTTTAGATTTTAAAAAATCCTAAGAACATACAATGCATAATCCTATATAATAAAAGGCTAACATGCTAATTGTCCCCCCAACCGGGAGTTCGACCAGGAGGCAGGGCCGGCTGGCCAACTGCCCATGGCCCTTTCCCCCAGCCGGCCCAGCCTGATTGCCTCGATTGGGGCCGGCCAGCTAGACTCCACCCATGCACGAATTCGTGCACCAGGCCTCTAGTTTCCCATAAAATGGATCATGTCTGTGACAGTTTTATTCAAAACTATACTAAAATGGACATAAAAAGTAAAAAAAAAAAAAAAAATTACTCTGCTGTGGTTCAGTGGTTAGAGTGCTGGCCCAGGCAACAAAGGGTCACGGGTTCGGTTTCCAGTCAAGGGCGTGTACCTCAGTCACAGGCTCGATTCCCAGCCCGGTTGGGGTGCGTGTGGGAGGCAAATAATCAACATGTCTTTCTAACATCCATGTTTCTCTCTCTTCCCCCCTCCCTCCCTTCCACTCTCTCTAAAAACATCAATGGAAAGAAAATTTAACTAAAACTAGAACTGACCTTAACATAACTATTAAAATAATCCCCTCCCCTGTTCAGTACCTGGATCCAAGCCTCATAGATAAATTCTATTTTCGAATAGAAAAGTAATTCTGTTCGAGAAACTGTTCAAAGCCACCTACAGTTCATTTCCAAACTATCCTCGATTCTCAAGTCCCAATAGAGAGAAATAAACGTCCAGCTGGTGACAGGATCCAGCCATGTGATAGAATAATGCCTCATGGGGGGCTTACCAGAGGAAGCTGAGGGCTGTTCGATAGGAGAGCAGCTAATAATAGAATCCACCCCATCAATAGCTTGAGAAAACGCACACCATCATTTTTAAAAGACAAAAAAGGCATTTCAGAAAATTCACTACCACCTCCAAAGACGGAATTTAACGAAGGGAACGCAGAAATAATTTTTGAGCAGGCTGAGGGGATCCTAGAATAAGAGCTGGCATTAATATAATAATTAGTGGCAAAACACTAGAGAGATGCACTTGGAAATCAGAAGCAAAACGAGGATCACTGATGTAGCACCATTAGGACGTTTTAAGATTTGGGGCAAATGCCAGAGGACTCACAGAGACACAAGGAACACCTCAGAAACGAGGGGCCCGCGGCTCACAGCGGGTGCTCCCACTGCACAGCGACAAAAGCCACCGAGGCAGCTAACACCCATGGGTGCGTTTGAAATAATGAGCTGCATTTCTACGCACACATCGGTTAGAAAATACGCAAGAAAAAGCAATGCCAGTCACCACGGCAACAACCCGCTGTCACCGCCACCCGAGACGTCCCAGGGCTGCACTGAACGAGTGCGTGGTGTCTGAGAGTGCGATCCCCACACCGGTCCCCTGGACGCGGAAACCTCTTCTGGGCGGAGGCCGAGGTCACAGCGCTGAAGTTATGACCGAAGACCAAGCAGCAGCTGTGAATGTTATAAACGGCTCTCGGCAACGGTGCTGAGAACTGGCCCCTCACACGTGAGAAAGCCGGGGCTCGAGGAGGTGGCTGCAGCCAGGAGTCCCGTGTGGGTGTAGGTGCACCTCACACAGCCTGTTGGGAGCGGGGCTGGGCCGACGCCCTTGTCTGGGTGACTCGGATTCTGGGGTCTGGCCTCTTTCCATGCTCCCTGTAAACCACCGCCCGCCTTGATACTTGCAAATATCACACAGTCTAAAGACAAACAATGAAAAGGAGTCGGCTTTACATGTTATTAAAAGACACTTTAAAACACCAAGACTCAAAACAGCATGACTCTGGGATGTGGGTGGTGGAGGCTCAGGGTGAGGCTTGGCTATTTCGGGCTCCGGGAAGAAAGGGATTCTCTTATCCTCTGCGGAGCCGTCACTGAGCAGCATTTGGAAAATGTACAGAATGGTGCTACCTGTGCCTGGGCCATACAACAGGAGCCTGGTAATAAAAACTAGTCACCTTTGCTCTGTGCCAGGCCCTGTGTTAAGCAATTGGAGACCTTACTTCATGCAGTCCTCATAAAGATCCTACAAAGCGAATGCTCCCATTCCACAGATGGAGAAACTGAGGCTCAGGAAGGAAAGTGACTGGCTCTGGGTCCTTCAGGCAGGCCTGGCTGACTTTATTAGCCTAGCTCCCTGTCCCCACCCAGCAGATGGGGCTGGCCTTTTCTGAGGTCCCATGGGTCGCTGCAAGCCCTTGGTGTCTAGGTGTCCCTCAGGGCCTGGCCTGCTCCACGCTCCCTCCCTGCGTGCCCTGGTCAGTGTACCCAAGCGGCCGCCCCTGCTCCTGGCTGACTAACACTCCAGTCACCCCCGGCAGCCTGAAGTCCCATGCTGTGCTCTATACCTCCTGACAGGTCCCTGACTCAGTTTCCCCTCTCATTGCAGCCAGTAGGTCTGGCTGTCTGGCTACCACTCTGCAGGGTTCACCTCTCTGAGCCTCTGTTTCCATAGCTCTAAAATGAGGGAAGTGAGAGCAGCCACCCATGGGGTTGCTGTGAGGATTAAACTGAGTGTTTAATCCTGGGCATCGTGGGTCCTTAGGAAGTTTCTGCGCCTTTTCTCCGTGGAGGCAGAAAGAACACGCCTACCCGTCCCCTCTGCAAGCCGCCAGCCAGCGGAGGTACAGTCTCAGGCAGGAAATGAAGTTGGGGGGTGGGGGGGGTTCTGAGCTACATGGAGAAGGCGCAGTGAGCCCCAGCCCATACCTGGCCTTATCTCCCTGCCCCCATCCTCCTCCAGGTCATACACGCAGACGAGGAGGCAGGACGAAAGGCAGAGACTTTGGAGCCAATCGGAGACACAGCAGGGTCTGCACTCCTAATGGCCCCTCTGCCCAGCTCACGGCTTCAGGCCTGGGCACGTGTTCTCCCACCAGACACCATCCGATTCCCCGGTCACACGTGAGCCCGCCCTTCCCCTTCCCCTCTCGTGACCCTGCTGCAGAAGGCACAGGCCCGGCAGCCATGATGCTCGTCCACGGGCGAGGGCTGGGCTGCCTGCTGCTCCCTTCCCAGGACCCCATCCGAGGGCCGCGGCCAATGCTGGGAAAGGGTCTCACCCTCCAAACCACATACGAGACACCGGGTGGACAGGGCCATTCACGGAGCCGCTCTACTCACTTCACAGTTCACCTCCGCTCCCGCTAGGAGAGCCAAGCAAAGCCCGCCCAGGGCCAGGCCCACCCAACACTTGTCCTCACAAACCCAGGCACCCGTGGGTGTAGATGCCCCAGAGAACATCTGAAACCACAGCTTGGAACCCCAGGGCCACCCACACCTGCTGACCTTCTTGGTGTAGCCCATGGCCTTCAGGACAGAATGGTTCAAGGTCTCCAGGGAGGCCAAGACGTCCTCATAGTCCCCCATGTGGTCCACAAAGTAATCTGGGGTAGGAGAGAGCAAAGGTCAGGGGTCACAGGAGGATTCTGCCCCTTTCACCAATCCCCCCGTGTCCCCTACTCCCGCTACCCAGTTCCCCTCCCTCCACACCTCTTGGTCCCTGCATTGCCTAACCGGGTACCTACCACACAGCTCCTTGGTGTCCACGTGGCTGCAGAGAGAGAACAGGGGAAGAGGGACTCAGAAGCCGGCCTGTTGGGTCCCATCCTTCTGCCCTCCCTCCACAGTGTGCCCGGCCCATGCAGCTGGTAAAACGCCTGGTGCCTTCCCTCTTCATTCCATGCCCTGGCATCGCAAGCCCCACTTCACAGGTAAGGGTGCAGCAGGTAAATGGCACCAACCCTTCCGAAGGCCCAAGCAGGGCTCCGTCAGCACCTCAGTCTATCTGACCCACTCACCACACCACCCACCCTGCTTCCTCCCCCAAAGTCTGCTGATCACATCATGAGCAGACGGGACCAGGATGGAGCTCAGGAAAAGGGAGGCGAAAGGGAGGAGATGACATTACAGGCTGAGACCAGCTCTCCTGCAACACGCTGCCCTGGGCACTCCTGTCTGCCTGGTCCTGGTCCTGGGCGAGCGTCCGATCCTCACCCAAATCCCAAGCCCCAGGGTCTGCACCCCATTCCTACAGCCTGGATGGGGAAGGGTCCTGCCCTTCCTGGAGGAGGCTGAGCACGAGGGCCAGCCCCACGGGTGCAGGTGCGGGCAGCGAAGCAGCCTGGGAACACAGATGCAACGCAGGAGTGTGCCCGGTGGGCCCCCAGGGACGAGAGTGTCTGTGCAGGTTCGAAACCTTCACTTTCTGGGCCCCAGTTCCTCACTGAGAGGAGGGGCTGGCCTAGAACCTGAATCCTCCCAACCCAGGCTCATCCACACGCCTCCGGGAAAGGCGCCTGAGCACTCCTGCCTGCTGAGGGGACCGGGATGGGGCTCAGCCAAGGCCCAGGCCCAAACCACTAGATCCGGAGTCAGAGGCTGTGCGCGCTGCCCGGGAGGTCCCCTGATTCGCTGTCCTAGTAAAAGTGCTGACAGGTCTCGCAGAAAGGAAGCCAGTTTACTTGTGCTTAAACTAGCATTTCCCCGAGCTTCTGGCCCGGGGGAACTGTTCTGGACAGAAGCCTAGCCAGCACCCCCAGGAGGGAATGCCCACGCTGCCTCTGGGGAGCCCTGGAGAAAACGCCGAAGGTGAGACCTCCCCGCTGGCTCCCCGCTCACGTGCTCTCATGGTTAAATGCACAAAACCTGCACCTCTTCCTCCCCACCCGGCTGGCCCAACACAGAGGCACCCGATGAGAATGCATCGTCAATGGGTCTCAGCCCTGCCAAGCTCCCGGGCCGGGAGGGACCCCTCAGACACCCCTGCCTGATCCAGACACACGCCCTTCTCTGGAGTCTGTGCTAGGAGCCGTTTCCTCCAGGCGCCTTCCCTGGACATGACACCGGCTCCACCTGCCCCGGTGCCGGCCTCTGCCTTCAGGACGCTCAGCCCCAACCCCTGGTCCAGGCCTTCACGGCGCCGGGTCCCCTGCAGATGAGCCTGGGGGCAGCTCCTTGTTTCAACATCTCTGGCCTGTCTCAGGGGACCCCAACTTATCGAACTGCCCCAAGCACCACCCCCCGGAACTCTGGTCCTCTCCCCGGAAGCAGGCCTGAGGAAGGTGACCAGGTGTGGGCTGAATGGGAGCCCAAGGAAAAGGAGAAGGTGGGATTAAGGCTGCGGCTGGCGCAGGGTAAGCAGCATTTGCTCCTGAGTCAGGGATGGGTGGGCCAGGAGGTTCAGATGGATTCTGAGATGTGGGTTAGGGTTATGACTGAGTTGATGAAAGGTTTAATTAGATGAGTCAGAAGTGGGATTCAGGTTAAGAAGTAGAGTTATGGGGCGATGAAGCTCAGGGAATGTAATCAATAATACTGCGATAACGATGCATGGTGCCAGCTGGGTACTGGAAATGTTGGGGTGAACACTTTGTAAAGTATATGATTTCCTAACCACTACGCTGTACACCTGAAACCTAGGCAAACTAATACTGAAAGTAAACTATAACTAAAAGAAATAAAGTGAGGCCCCAGCCTGTTTGGCTCAGTGGATAGAGCATCGGCCTGCAGACTGAAGGGTCCCAGGTTCAATTCTGGCCAAGGGCACATGCCCGGGTTGTGGGCTTGATCCCCAGTAGGGGCTGTGCAGGAGGCAGCTGATCAATGATGTTTCTCTCATCATGTTTCTATCTCTCTCTCTCCCTCTCCCTTCCTCTCTGAAATCAATAAAAATATATTAAAAATTAATAATGAAATAAAGAAACAGAGTTAGGATGAGCATCTGGTTAGAGTTTGGTTTCGGATGGGAGCCGGTGAGAACAAGATGGCAGCGTTGGTGTTGGGTCGGGAAAGAAGCACCAGGTCCGGGCAGAACTGGGCTGAATTAGCAGAAGGTGCTAGAGCCGCCAACTTCCCTTCACCATCCAGAGTGATTTCTGCAAAATCTAGGGTCTCTCTCCGCTTAGCCACATGTGCCAGAAAAGACCAGCCTGCCAAGGGGGCCGCTGACTTCGGACGAAGGAGTTCGGGGACTGCAGGGGTGGGCAGAAGGAAGGGCGCCTCCCAGCCCACGGCGCCGGCTCCAGCGCGGGGACCCCGGGCCCCGCTCACTTGGTGTTGTCGGAGTCGATGGTGTGGAAGAGACCCTCCAGCTCCGTCTCGTTGAGGACGCCATCTGCAAAGAAGAGCTGGAACTCCTCCAAGGACAGCTTCCCATCGTCTGCAAAGGGGGAAGGAGAGCAGCTGGCCTCTGGGCGACAGGACGTCCCCAAATCCAGACAATTCCCAAACCAACAGAGCAGTCCCGTCGGCGAATCCCAATCGGCCAGCGCACGCCAGGTCTCGGGGAACGACTGACTGACTCACGCAGCCAATTCCCGAACCAGAGACCCACACCTACTGGAGATAAACCTCAAACCAACACACACGAGCAGCAGCTCGTCTGCGGGACTCACGCTGCAGGAATTCAACCAACAGCCAGCACCTGCCCCGCCAGGCCCTGGCCTCGCATCGACCTGCCTGACCTCCTGGGCCGGCACTGTTCACAGCCGCTCCACACCTACCACACCTGCAAGAGGGGCCGAGGGCGGCAGTCTGATGGTCTCTCTCTCTCTCTCTCTCCCGTCCAGGTACCCAGATGATATCCCCCCATTTAAATTACCTCCAGCGCCAGCACCCACATCCTGATTGGGGAGAGGAAAGACCCCTCGCCCTGTGCCCCATCCACTCGGCAAGCTTCAGCCCAAACTTTTTAAAGGGCTGATGTGTGACGGTTGCCAACAGTTGGCACAGAGTTCTCTCGGTGCCACAGATGCCGCCTTAAAGATGCCAAACCACGAGGAAAGGAGGTGCCTGGCCTGGGCCCAGCGCTGCCCCGCCCGCCCGCCCTGGGGCCGGGAGCTGTGGCTCTGGGATGTGGAGGGCGTGGGGCTCTGTAAGGGGCACCACAGCTGAGGCATGCCACCTGCCGCCCACCCCCCTCCCTCCCTCTCACCTCTGCTCTCACCCACGGCCCTCTGGCACAGCATCTGGCAGGGAAGCTCTCTGAGCTGGGGGCAGAGGGGCTGCTGAGGGAGGGGCTCACAGCAGACCTGTGACTCCAGGAGAAACAGCCCTCAGTTTCCCCCTCGGCTCCTCCCACCCCGCACACCTGCTGGGAGAACTGAAAGCTGCTCTCCCCCCCCTGCAGCCCGAAACCCCTCAATGAGCCTGCTCTTCTTAAAGGAGCCATGCCTGTGGGCGGCAGTGGAGGTCAGGCAGGACGGCAGGCCCACGGCACGTGCCAGCCTCCAGCCCCCGTGCAGACCCCCTCCCATGGCGTCCAGCCAGGCTGCCTCAAAGCCCAGCGAGCCCACCTGGCACCTGTGGGTGGACTAGGAAGAGATGCCCTTTCCTGGTTGGGGTGAGGGCCTTGCCCAGCGTCAGGGCACAGGGCTGTGACGGATGCAGGCTGGGTCGGAGGCTCCCGATTCCTTAGGCAGTGGCCCTCGTGCAGGGCACAGCTTGCCTACGTGAGCCCAGAGCGAAGTTGTTCTTACATCTTAAAGGCGCTGGAGTGCCCGTCTCTGCTCCCAGCAGCTCTGTGTGGGCTCAACAAGGGCTAAAGGACAAGCTGGGGAGAGGGAGACCCTCACACTTGTCCTCACTTCCCTCCCCGTCATCAAGCTCAGGAGAGAGTAAGGACTAACCTGTGAGCTGTGAGTGCTCGGAGCCTGGGGGTGAGGGCGGGGTCCCGGATGCCTCCGCCATCCAGGCTCAGGGTTCAGTGTCAAAGAGGGAGGATGAGTTTGTAACTTTCAAAACCTAAGAGTCCCCCCAACACTCCCGCTCAGAAGGCCCAGAACCCAGCCACGCACGATACCAGCTGTGAAATAAACTCTAAGCTGCGGGTCTTTGTCATCTGGGCAAGAGGAGACGTTCCCCGACCCATTTGGCAAGATTGGTGATCAAGCCAGCAACCACAGCACAGAATCAGGGCAGACACATGGGGCTCTTACTGCGTAGTCACTCATTCAGTCCTCCCACACCCCATGGCACGGTAGCACCGTCACCCCCATTTCACAGACCTGTAAACCGAGGCACAGAGCCGTTAAAGGGCTTGTCCAGACCCCACAGCTGGGGCTCGAACCCAGGCCATCTGGCTCCTGAGGCCACGCTCTCACCCAACATGGGGCAGGGTCTTGTGGCAAGAGCTCCAGCCACAGGGCGACCTGGACAGGCCGAGGCCAAGTCCGGACTCAGTGGAAGGGAGCTGGGATTGCTTCGTGGTGTCTGCGTGGGCACAGCCGGGGGTCTCCCTGCCTCACCCGCTCCTGCCTGTCAGGTGCCCCGTTGTCTGCACTTGGGAGAGCGGCAGGGGGGCCCAGGCCTCCTGAGCACAAAGGCTCCCAGCTGACATTTATCTCGAAGGCCCCACCACCGCCCTAAGGAACCAGATCAGCCAATGAGGGAAGCACCCTCCCACCAGGCCCCCGCCCATTAGACCAGCGGCCTGGCACCCCCGCCCAGCGGGCATTGGCAGGTGTCTCTCCCAATTAGCAGGAGCTCAGCCTCTAGTCAGTGACCTTTCAAATGCCAGGAGTCTGCATCCCTGCAGAGACACAGTCACCTGCGCCTGCCCTCCGGGCTCCACCCCCAGGCCGCCCCTCGGAGCCCTGCCGTCTCCATCTCTGTGAAGATCTCTGTTCTCAGAGCCAGGACGGCTGGCCCGTGCTCCTGTGATCCGAGGGCCCATCCCTCCCAGCCTCAGCCTGAGCCCACACTCCATCTTCCGCCCCCGCCCCCGGCATCTTATTCCGCTGGGTGCCAGGGGAGGGCCGCGTGCGCCTGTGATCAACAAGTGTGCGCACGAGCCTTTGTGTGTCTCTGGTCTACACCCACACTCACCCTACGTGCACACCGCGCCCATCCCCTGCCCACACGTTTTCAAACTGAGTCCGAACCCATCTGCCGCCCCCCGCCTGCCTCAAGTGAGGACCTGCAGTCTGTCGCTTGCCCTCGCCAAGCCTTGCTACTGTCAGCTGCGGCAAGGGGTACGGTGCTTCCTGTGCCACTAGGAGCAGAGTGAAGACCAAAGGAGGAGGTCCATGAAAGCTCGGTGCCCGGAGGCTCAATGGCGTCGGCAGCCGGCCCCGCAGCGGGCACCTGTGCAGCACAGGAGGGAGCCCAACACCTGTGGACAAACCAAGGCCGTTTCCACGGCGCGCGACGCTCCCCAGCTGTTCAGGGCTCGCTGCTTCCTCAGGGGCAGCCCTCTGCGCTGCGGGCTAGTTTCATCACCCCCACTACAGATGGGGAACCTGAGGCCAGAGAGTTTGGGGGCTGGCCTGAAGTTACAAAGCTGGGAAGTGGCTGAGCCAGGGCTTGCACCCAGGCAGTCTCTGTGACAGAGGAGGGGCCCCGCCCCCTCCCACAGGCTCCGCATCCCACACACCCTAACCCTGGTGACACCCCCACGGCCACTCCGCGGTGGCTGGGAAGACGCAAGGCCCCAAGGGGAGCAGCAGGCTGGGCCTGTACGGGGCCCGCAGGAGAGAAGTTGAGAGCCCACAGCTGTGCTCAGGGGCGGAACCACGGCCTCTGACTGGGAACAAGTAATGGCGAGGAAAGCCCAACTGTGCCTGGAGACCAGGGTGCCACCCACCACGCACGGACGCACGGACAGTCCCACATCCACTGGGAGACCACAGCCAGACACACTGCTACGCCCCAGGGCCGCACAGCCACACTCGCATCCATGAATAGGCCCATCACCTAAATCCACAGGCACTTACCAAGCACCTACTATGTGCTGGGCGCCAGGCCCACGACAGGGACAAGCCTCTAACCCCCTCCTCTAATCTCTAACACTGTTCAGGCCACGATGCCACCGTCATTTCCTGAGCCCCACCGAAGCCCCCCATCTGTTTCCTTTCTCCTTGCTCCAGATGCAATTGCTCTGATGGTCCTTTGGTCCAAGAGGCCTGGGAGGGGCCATCACGCCCAGGGATGGGGTCAAGGGGTGGAGACCCCAGGCACTGACTTCCAGCCAGGCCTGCGCACCACCTCCTCCCACCCCCTCCCCAAGGCCTCAGGTTCCATCCCCAACACCACGGGGGGGGGGGGGGACAGGTCAACTCACAGGGGCAGGGAGAAAGGGGGTGCTGGGACCCAGGCTAGAGCTGCGGCCTTGAACTCCAGCCTACAACGGAGAGGGGCTGGGACTGATGCTCGGGGCCCTGAGGGGCAGGCACATCTGTTCCCACTTCCCCCAGCAGAGACCTCGGCCCTCAATCAGCTTGTTTCAATAAATGAGCAAACACTGAGCACTGCTTAATTTTCCCTAAAACACCTATCCCCACACCGCCCTGCATTTTCCCAATAGCCTAGGCAAGTAGACAGGTAAGTGTTATCACCCCACATTACAGAAGGGAAAGCTGAGGCCTGGAGAGGGACTGTGCCTTGGTAAAGCCATGTAGCGTCGCTGTGGGCCGGAGAACAATGACTGCAGTATTTATAGGAAGTGGTACCGCTCTTTGCCACACCTGCGAGGTTCGGGCCTTGGGGAACGTGGTTATCCTCACACAGGTGGGAGCCTACCAAGCAATCAAGAGGGGAGCGTCAGGCGTTCAATGGCAAAGCAATGTGCTGCTCACACTGTCGGAGAGGCTGGGCTACCCTGGGCAAGTCACTTAACCTCTCTGAGCCACGACAGCGCTGATAGAACACGGGATGCAGCACCCACCGCACCAGGCAGCCGCGGGGAGGAAGTGTGCCCCGGCCTGTGAAGGGCCTAGAGCAGTGGTTCTCAACCTTCTGGCCCTTTAAATACAGTTCCTCATGTTGTGACCCAACCATAAAATTATTTTCGTTGCTACTCCATAACTGTAACGTTGCTACTGTTATGAATTGTAATGTAAATATCTGATATGCAGGATGGTCTTAGGCAACCCCTGTGAAAGGGTCGTTCGACCGCCAAAGGGGTCGCGACCCACAGGTTGAGAACCGCTGGCCTAGCGTGAGGCTGGGGGCTTCCTTACAGCGTGGCCCAGCCCAGCTGTGTAAGGGTTAAAGCACACCAAGCATTTACCACGGGCAGGACACCCTGGCATCAGACATCCCTTCACAGAATCCTCATGGCATCCCCGCTGTGTAGGAACTAGGGCGTCCCGTTGTACAGAAGGGAAACTGAGGCACAGAGCAGGACCAGGATTTGGCCTTCAGATTTCAGAGACCTGTACCCTTAACCTTTAGGTTCAAGGTGGCCCACTCCCCACCCCTGGTCCTTTCCCTTGAGGCGTCAGGACGGAGAGAACCAGGTCCTCACTCAGGGGCAGCACGGGAGGGAAACTCACCATTTTTGTCCGCGCGGCGGAAAATCTGCAGGGAAGAGAGATGGGTTGAGTCAGCCCTGGGCAGAGAGCAGGTGCCCTCCAGCGGCTCCTGAGCTGGAACAGATGTCCCCTCCCCCCGCAGGTGCCCTGGGAAACTGAGCCCCCACTTTCTCCCTCCCCGGGGAGGAGACCCGCCGGCTGGGATCCAGGGTGGGAGAGGAAGGGATGTTACAGGCAGAGGCCCTCCCAGCCACCCTAGCGGAAGCAGCCGCCCACGCTCCCTCTGTGCCGCCAGCCTGCCCACAGCCACGCTGACAGACACATGCACACGCGTGTGGACACTCTGGCTCACACTGTCCACATGCTTGGGGGTGCACTCCCAGCGCCACCGGTCCATGGGGCTTCACCCACTGTCGCACCCTGAGTTGCACACCCCGAATTTGTGTCCCGAGGACACAGCCACAGGCCTTGCAGCCTCAGGGCGCTCCAGGGAGGTTGGGTTAATTCTGAACAGAGGCCTCTGCTAAAGGAACCTCCAGGCTTGGCCACTGGACCAGCCACAGGCAGGAGGGGCCTTTTGGACAGGGGAGCGAGTAGAAGCAGGTTGACAGGAGCTCAGGAAACCAGCTGCCACCTCAGGTAGGAAAAAGGAGGGGCCAGCCCACGCCCCCACCCCCACCCCCAGCCTGAGCTTGGAGACCAGATAACTCCTCCTCCTGGCATTTCGGGGCAGTAGCCCTGCTGATGGAAGGAGGGAGAGGTAGATCAGCACCTCAACCACCCACCTGGTGCGTCCCTGAGATAAAGGACAGAGGCCCCTGCAAGCAATGGGGCGGCACCCATTATCCACCCAAGGCTGTGACACACTGACACAGCAGCTCAGGAGATCAGCCCCTTCCTTAGCTGAACCCCGATGCCAGGGTCCTGGGCAGGAAGGGGAGCACTCTCTGGCGCCCCTCAAAGCCTCAGCCCAGGGCCCACACTCCTGCTCCAAGGCTGGGTTCCACCCTCAGGTGCCAGCCGAGGGCCTGGGTGTTACTGAACCACATGACCACCTGCTGTGGCTCCAGAGTCTGCACGAGCACGGAGCCCCCCCATCTGCTCATCACCCCATTTCACAGATGAGGACACGGAGGCTCAGAGCCCGCAGGCAGTACTCCAGGACCCTGGAGCCCACCCCCTGGACTGTTAGAGGAGAGAATGGGAGGGGTCTGCACCCAGGGTCTGCGCCCCCCCCTTCCCTGCAGGGCGGGCCCAGGGCATTCAGCTGCCAACTCTGCTGGGGTCTTGAGAGAGGGTCTGGGTGTGTTGGGCTGTGCATGTGTGAGTGTGTTTGGGGGCACCAGCACCAGGACCCCAAGCACTCCCAGCAAAGCTCCACCCTCCCCGCCCTGCCCTGCCCAGCCTTCTCTGCCCAGAGCCAGCTGTGGGTTCCAGGAAAGGAGAGAGAAAATCCACTCGTGCTCACGTGCACAAGAACACACACACACACACACACACACACACACACACCCCTCCCAGAACACCCGCCCGCACTGCTAGGGGCCCTGGCTGGGACATGCACTCCCCATTGCGGTGCTGTCTATCTCTGGGGTACGGGGTGGGGAGGAAGCCCCTCCACCTCCGTTTGGCACCCCACCTCCCCATCCCCTGCCACCCACCCTACAGAATCTCCCTCCCATTTGGGGAGTGGGGGGCGGGAGCAGGCTTCCCCTAGGAAGGCAGTTTGGGTTCCAGAGAGGATGGGGGCGGGGTATCGGGGGAGGGGGAGGAATGGACAGAGGGGACTCAGGGCGGCATGGGGGTGGTGATGGAGCTCAGAAAGATCCGGACAGGGCTCCTGGGGGTGGTTCCAACTCTCTGGAAAGGAGAAGCGAAGACAGCGGTGGGGAGTGGGCTTTGCTTGCAAAGAGCGGGTGGCAGGCTGATAGGGGCTCAGGGTCTAGCGAGGAAGAGACCGGTGGTCTCAGGAAAGTAGCCACCCACGCAGGGACCAGGCTGGAGAGCAGGAGGGGGTTGGGGCGGTCAGGGGCTCCCGTCCTGGGAAGGAAGGGGGGTGAAGGATGATGTTCGGGCTGGGAAAAGATGGGGATTGGGCCAAGACAAAGTAGGGGGATGGTGGTCAGGTCGAGGGGGCTCCAGGATCCGGCTCCGAGAAGCTGAGGGAGGGGGTGCGTCCAGGTGGAGGGATGAGCCTGGACCTGGATGGAGACGATGGGAATGTGGAGGGGCTGGGGGCGCGCGCTCTGGGACGCAGAAGGGCCGGTACCTGCTCTGCGCTGCCGAGGGGGATGGGCAGGGGGTTCCCTGTTTAAGGAAGAGGGGGGCCCGCGGGTCCCGGCGGCGACGAAGGAGGGCGACGTTGGGGGTCTCCCCGTGGAAGGATGGGGCTCGGGGTCCCGGCCCGCGCGTACTCACGTCCAGGATGACAGCGGTGCCCCCGCGCGGCGAGGCGGGGCCCGGGCAGGGGCCGGGGTCCACGGCAGGGTCCACGGCAAGGGCGTCAGGGGCGTCGGGGGCGTCGGGGACCAGCGGCACCCGGGGTTCCCCCATCCTGGCGCCCACCCAGCGCAGCAGCCCGCCCAGCGCCCGGCCCTGCGGCGGCGGCTCCCGGAGCAGCCTGTGCGCGCCGGCCCTGCACAGGCGCGCCGCCCGCTCGCACATCGCGCCGCGCCCGCCGCCGCCGCCGCCCGGAAGCCCGCCGACCCCCGCCTTCCCGCCGCGGCCCGCCCCCGCGCGACCCCCTCCCCGGCTCCGCCGCCGCCCGCACCGCCCGCCCGCCCTCCCTCCCTCTGCCCCCGCGGCCGCGGCCAGCGCGGGGACGGGCCGGCGCCGGGGGACCGGGCGGGGACGGGCGTGCGCTCCGCCCGGACCCCGAGCCACGTGCCCTGTGTCCACCCCCCACTCCCAGCGGCCGGGCGCGGCGGCAGAGGGCTGCCCGCGGGGGTGCTGAACCCCGGCCTGGCCAGGGAGGGGGCTGCCCAGCAGTTGCGGGTTTGGTGGGGGTCTGGGTGCGGGGGTTTCTCCCCCCAAAGTCTCCGCTGCACCCCGCCCCCCCCCCCATGTCCCCCTACTCGCTCCTCTGGGCGCCGCCGCAGGGGCCCGAGCGTGGTGTCCGACGAGACCCGAGCGCCCTCTGCTGGCTCCGGCTGCCGGACTCGGCGCCCACTCCCTGGGCTTCCACCGCCACTGCCACTTCAGGGGCACCCCCTTCCCTCCTGGGGGCATGAGGCTCCCGCAGACCTCTCCTCCCAGAACCAGTCTTTTCCCAGAACACCCTCTTCCCCTCATTCCAAAGCTACGTGCTAGGCCCTGGGTCCCAACAATGGGCAAAAGGGATGGGAGTCTTGGCCTCCTGGAGCTTACAGCGGACTGGGCAGACAGAAGCGGGACAGATTCCACCAATCAATGAACCATTAAAACGGAACTGCTAGGGAGTGGTGGGACCTTGGACCGTGAGCTGGTAATTTCCCTGGTGCCCATGGAGGGGTTTGTGTCAGAAAGTGCTTCCAAGAGGAGGTGATTCTCATGCTGAGGGAGTGGAAAGAAGAGGGAGGGTTCAAGAAAGGAGGAGAAAGTGGGCTGGAGGCCTGCCTGTGCAAAGGCCCTGTGGCAGGTGAAGGAGGCACGGTGAGCACGAGGGACTGACTGAAGGGCAACCATGTGCTGCGCCCCATTCCTCACACACACCTCCCCTCCCCTCTCTAACACACTGCCGTCACATCTGCCACACTCGGGGCACCGTCCCTTGTCCCCCAACCCCCAGCACAAGGGCCTCCTCCCATAGGGCCCTGTGCTTGCCCCAGCTTAGAGCAGGCTCCTGGGCACCACGCTCTTCCCCAAGCACAGACGTCTCAGACCCATGAGTGGAGGCAGGTGCTGGTTTTATTTGGGACCTGATTTTGGAAGGAGCGAGCCTGGAGTCAGACCCCGATGGTCCCCGCTCACACTGGCACCTTTCACCCCAAGTTGCAGGTCTGGGCCGTAGTTCCGGCCCTGAGCTCTGGTCTGAGTCTGTAGCCTGGGTTCCCCACTCTTCATCTGAAGAGCCTGTTGCATGAGCTCATGGCTACTCCTGTCTCCTGCCAGGAGAGGCCCCTTCCCTCACGGAGCGTCTGTGTCCAGCAGGGCTGTGGTGATCTCCCCTCCTCTTTAGGGCCTGGGTGTGAGGATGCCCGGCCGAGGGCTAAGGCGGTTTCCTGGCCTCCTTTCTCAGCAGGGAGCTGGCCACGGCCAGGGCCCCGCCCTGCACAAACCGCACGAAGTTGTCCCCGGCCAGCGGCCCCACAGCGTACAGGCCCTCCTGCTGTGTGCTCTGGTAGGTGAAGGGCTCCACGTCGATGGGGTTCCTCTTGGCGCTCAGAGGCTGGTCAGGGTCCACGGCGAGGTGGGCGCCTGCCCCCGGGAGGAAGGAGAGGTCGGGGTGGGAGCCGATGAGGACCAGCACCAGGGAGAGGCCGAAGACCTTGTGGAGGCCCTGGGGGTCCTGGAACAGCGCCTGGCGGTCCTCCTTGAAGAGCAGCAGCTGGTGCTCGGGGAGGCTGCGGTAGCCCTCGTAGGGGCTGGGCGACAGGATGGACTGCTCGCGCATCATCTGGTGCACCTTGTGGTACTCCGGGTACAGCATCTTGGGCAGCTGGTTGAAGACCAGGCCCGGGTCGTCCACGGGCCGGCGGAAGGCGTGGATCACGAGGATGTTGTAATGGCGCGCGTAGAGCACTGCGTCGGCCGCCGACAGCCCAGCGCCGATGATGAGGACCGGGTCCGAATCTGGGGTCACTGTGCCCGCCCTGATGGCCACCTCCAGGGCCGACAGCTCATGGTGGACGAAGGGCAGGGTCTCCCCGGGGATGCCCAGCCGGGCCGGACTGTCCGACGTGCCTGTGGCCAGGACCACGTTGTGGGCGCACAGGGAGAAGGGCTGCTGGCTCTGGTCCTCGGCGGTCAGGAAGCCGCTCACCTGGAAGAGGGGGCTGGGGTCTTGGGCCCCAGAACCACTGGGCTCGGGGATCCCCCACTCCACAGCCGTGACCACAGCGCCGGACACAAAGCTTTGGCCCAGACCCTTCTTGTTCACGTAGTCCCTGTAGTAGTGAGCGATGTCCCCGGCTGTGGCGCGGCTGTTACGGAGACCTCTGGGGGGAAGGACACGGAAGGGTGAGTGACAGAGAGGGCACTGGGGTCGGGGCTCAATCAGGTGGGACAGGGCTGGGCATCAGGCCCTGCAGCCGACAACGGCTGTGCCACCCTCCAGCCTTAAGGCTTGGCCAAGGGGCTTAGTCTCTCTGGAGCCTCAGTCGCCTCTTCTGTAAAATGGAGCCGATAGAGCATCTTATTAGGGTGGGGCTGGGTGTGGCCTCTCAAGGCAGATGGCCTGGGTCCGTACCCTGACCTGCCACTGGTGAGCTACTTCCTGAAACCCTCTGCCTCAGTTTCCTCATTGCAAAATGAGGGTGACCATGGCGACAGCACCTATTTTGTGCCATTGTTGAGAGGATTACATGATGATACAAACGAAGAGCTTAGAAGAGAACCTGACAGGCAGTAAGGGCCACATGAGGGTCGGCCGCTGTTATTACCGCTAAGGACTAAGTAATACCATACACACGTGTGGTAGGAGAAACAGCCACAACTAATCTGTGGAGTTACAGGTCAACACAGTGGTTGCCTCGGGGCGGGGAGCTAGGGGGTACTGGGAGGGGTCTGAGGGGGTTCTGGGGAGAAGGGATCTATTTCCTGAGTATGGGTGGCTGGACGCAGGTGTGTCCACTGGGAAATTCCGTCCGCCTGTACACGTGTGTACACATGTGGGTTGTGCACGTTTCTATACGCATATATATTTCAGTAAACAAGTTGACTTAAAAAATAACCATGTGAAGCACTTGGCCTAGTCCCCAGCAGGGACTAGGATTATTATCGCCACCATCATCACTGTCACCACCTCCTCGGGGGCAAGGGCCGCAGGCCAGTGTGGCTGGTGTGGAGCTGTGGCTCCTCTCAGCGCCTCCCTGTTTCTACCTGCGAGCCCTCAGGGGGTCACCTTCCCCACCTGTGGACTCACTGTGAGAGATGAACTCACTCAGCAGGGGTCCCGAGTGTCAGCCAGCACATCCCCCAAGGTGACTCCGGCCACCCACCTCCCAGTCTGCTCCTAAAACTGGAACTCTGGGATTTACTCCCTTTCTCCGGTTGAAAGCACTGTCCTAAGATGATGTTACTTCGGTGTTCCTTATAGAAATGGCACATTCGAAGGAATGAAAGCTCCATGACTGGTCAGTGGCTTAGGAATGGGGCAGCCCTGAGGGCAGGGAGGGCATCTGCCTGCTTTTTTTGGCTCAGCCATCTAAGCACAAGGCCCTGCACGTAGATGCTTCCACTCCCTGGGGAACATTACGTGGCCATGTAAAAGGATGGCTGCAAGGGCTGTGATCGCCACGTGAGATGCTCACACAGTGTTAAATTTTGAAAGTGGGTTATGAAAGGCAATGCCTACAAGTGAAATTTAAGTTCCTGTCTGTTAAAACATCACCGTGTGCTAGATGTTTTCCTAGCAGATGAATCCTGGAAGGCTGGGTGCCTGCTGGGTGGGAGTGACGTGTGCCCTGTCACAGCCCTGAGGGTGGAGGAAAGCAGGCAGACACCTCACAGCGGGGATCCTCTGCCTGGACCGCTGGGCAGCCCTATGCCTCCCGCCCTAGGAATGCATTTACTCAGTGATTTAACTTTCTCCAGGGCGGTCAGAGGTGTGCAGTCTGGGCTTTAGGAGAGGAAACAAGATGGGAGGAAAATACGCCGAGATGTGGCAGCAATGGACAGAAGTATGGGGTTGGGTGACTTGTTGTTGCTTTCTGTTTTCAGTTTTCTGTAGGGTGGCTGTGCTTCTAATACAAGAGCATTAAAAAAAATAATAATAATCTATATATATAAAAGCCTAAGGGACAGAATGACCAAATGACCAAACAACTGGCAGACTGGCTGCTCTCATGTGCACTGACCACCAGGGGGCAGACACTCAATGCAGGAGCTGCCCCCCTCATGGTCAGTGTGCTCCCACAGCCAACCTCCCGTGGCCCCACCCCCACCCCCAACCCCTCGTTGGCCCACCCCAAACAGCCTCGATTGCTGGCCAGGCCGAGGGACCCCACCAGTGCATGAATACATGCACCGGGCCTCTAGTAATAAACAAAGGAGTGCAGCCTTTTAGCTGACCTAGAAGCAAGGAGGTTGTTCCAGGCCAGGCTCAGAATTGTGGGAGGGGCAGCAGGGAGGCCTGAGGATTGGGGAGGGTGGGGGCAGGGCGTGGGAGCAAGGGAGGCTGTCTCCTTGGAGACTGGGATGCTATAGGAAGGCCAAGTCAGGGGGTCATGGGAGAGGGGGAGGGAGCACTAGACAAGGAGGCCCGGGGTGAACCCGGTGCTGCAGACCGCGGCCTGTGGATCCTACACAAGTCCCTTCCCATCAGTGCCTCGGTCTCCCCCCCAAGCGCCTAGAGGAAGAGGAGGGCAGACGAGAGGATCCTTGGAGCCCCTTTAGCTCAGGCTCCTGGGCTGGTGTGGGGGGCAGGCCTGGGTCTCCCTGCCCACATGGGCTTCCAAGGATGCCTCACCTGCGCTTCCGGCGCATCCAGTCCTTGACTTCCAGGTCCGGGAGCCCCATCCACTGGCCTTGGCTCAGGGTCACCATGGAGCCTTCAATGGACTGTGTGGGAAAAGGGTCCTTTGGTCCAGACCTCTGCTAGCCCCCAACCCACTTGGGCTGGAGGACATGGGGCCTGAGCTCACTGGGAAAGGGAAGTGGGAGAGGAGGAGGGGGAGGAGGAGGGGGAGGAGGGGGAGGGGCGGAGGGAGAGGAGGGGAAGGAGGGGGAGGAGGGGGAGGGGCGGAGGGAGAGGAGGGGGAGGGGCGGAGGGAGAGGAGGGGAAGGAGGGGGAGGAGGGGGAGGGGCGGAGGGAGAGGAGGGGAAGGAGGGGGAGGAGGGGGAGGACGGGGAGGAGGAGGGGGAGGAGGGGGAGGAGGGGGAGGGGGAAGCTAATAGGAAAGCTGGGAAATGGAAGAGTCCTAACCCTGTCTTAGGGAGGGAGTCTCCCCAAGACTTTGGTAGATTCGCCCCAAATCGCCTCGCACCCTTCTGGTCCCACTTACATGCCAGGCTCCCCCAGGCAGGTTCCGGCCCAGGACCACGTGGGGGATGGCTCGCTCCTTCTGGAGCTTCCAGGTGAGGACAGACTCCGTGTTCCCCCCAAAGTCTGTGTCTGGGCGCAGGAGGGCGTCAAAGAGCAGGGCCACAGGGCTCTGGCACCGGCCTTCGAGGCCCTCAGACAGGTAATCCAGGTCCTGGAAGGGAGCGGCACGGGTCAGGGGCCACCAGGGGAAGGGCCGGCTCTGCATTCCCACCCCCGCATCAGGGTGGCCGGGGAAGCTGGGGAATGCTGCCTCTCGAGGGCACGTTAAGGGGTCTGACGAGTCCTGCAGCTGCCCTTTGCCTGTGTCTCTCAGATGTGCATGAGTAGGAACACTTTCTCTGCATATCATACTGAGGAGCTAGCGTCCTGTTGTGAGAAAGAGCTTTGAAAAATGCTGATCTACATCAACCATCAGCTTACTTCCTCATCCACCAGCTCCAGTGGCAGGTGACCTGGAGGATGGATGCTGCCTGAAGGGGGGCGAGGGGGAGGGCGGGGGTGGTAATGTGTGGCCTCCAGGAAAGGCAAGGAGCCAGGAGGGGGCTCTGTAAGCCCCGCTGGGCAGGAGGCAGGAGAAGTGGGAAGCCTGGGGCAGGTTTCTCAGCCTGCACTCCTGGCATTGGAGCTGGATCACATGTTAGAGTGGGCGCTGCCCTGTGCGTTGTGGGATGTTTAACAGCATCCCTGGCCTCCAGCCTCTAAGCCAGCGGTAGCATCCCTCCAGCTGTGACAACTGGCATTGTCTACAGGTATTGCCCAGCGTCCGCTGGGGCGCAAAATCGCCCCCAGTTTAGGCCCAGTGGCCTAGGGGTGGAGACAGCTGATGTGGCATTTGTGGGTCTCGAAGGATAGCCCTGGTTCCTCTTTCAGTTTCCACGGCTGATTTTGTGGCCTCTCACGTTCAGGGTTTGGGCTTGTGTCTAACAAATGCTTACTTGGGTGTTTGCCCTGGGAAAGCTGGGAGAGTTTCCCCAGAGGGGTGTGTCACCCCCCAACCCCCACCCCGCTCTGGCCCACCTGGTCCAGGATGGAGACCCCCGGGGCCTCGGAGAGCTTCCTCTGCAGCAGGGGGTGTGGGTGGACGGCATCGGGCTTCACGTAGGGGGTGTAGCCGGAGAGCAGGTAGGACAAGCAGATGCCGGAGGGACCATTGCCTGGGGAGAGAGGGATGGAAGGTCACTGCTGCCTCGGGCTTTCGTCTCGATCTGCCTTGTTCACTGAATCACTCTTCATTCATAAAAATGACACATTTACTAAGCCCTTGTCATGTGCCAGGCACCGTGCACACTGACAGTAACAAGTAATAGCCATTGCTGAGAGCCTGCTAGGTGCCGATAGTAGTGCTGTTAGGGGCAGTGCTACCTAAGTAACAATAAAGTGGTAATAGCCGCTGACATTCATTCAGTGCTTACTGTGTGCCAAGCTTTGTGTTAGGGATTTTAATAATAAAATAACGATATACTGACAGATGCTGCTGCTGCTGTACCAAGTCCCTGAAGTGCCTGCATTCTTCCACTGAGCTCTCCCAATGACTTCAGCGAGGTACACGCTACTCTTTTCCTCCTTTTATACGGAAGGAAGCTGGGGCCCAGAGATGTTAATTAACTTGCCTGTGGCCACACAGCAACACCACCCAGAGTCTGAGATAACTAAGAACTAGTTCTGTCTGGTTGGTCAGAAGACAAGTGAGTCATTGTAGTGCTGACTGCTGCATGCTCAGGGCTTGGGGGGTGGGCCTCAGGGGCCTTGGATGCTCAGGAGGGGAGCTAAGCCACCGTGGGCCTCCTGCCCCCAAGTCTGAATGAACCTCACAGCTTATCTGTGGAATTTCTTGGGCAATTACCTCAAGACATTGCTTCTATTCTTATCTTCCCCTCTTTCTTTATCTTGCACTATGCAGAATAGTGCCCAGATGTAGAACACTATGAAAGGACAAACCGCATGGAATTGCTGATGCTCAACTGCTTTGACTTACAAAAAGGAACACATTTCATGGAGTTCAACCTAACGTTTGCATGGCAGAGGGGCCACCTGTCCTCCGTGTTTGCAGACCTGAGGACAGGACTACACGCTTCGGCTGTGCCCCCCCTCACTCAGCACCCAGCCTGGTGCCAGATATGGGAGAGCACAGGACAACACAGACTGAGGACCAAGCCCCCACCCCTCGCTGCCCTTGCCTTGCAGGGTCTTTGAAGGATTACATGGAATGATACCGCATAAGTTGTAAGCATAGCCCAGCCGGTGTGGCTCAGTGGTTGAGCGTCGACCTGTGAACCAGGAGATCATAGTTCAATTCCCCGTCAGGGCATATGCTTAGGTTGTGGGCTCAGTCCCCAGTGTGGGGCATGCAGGAGGCAGCTTATCAATGATTCTCTCTCATTGTTGATATATATCTCTCCCTTTCCCTTTCCCTTTCTCTCTGAAATCAATAAAGATAGATATATATTTAAATTGTAAGCATAGCACTGGGCACAGAGTGAATGTTGAGTGGTGAATTTTAAAGACAACAAAAAATGAATGAATAAATAAATAAATAAAGGCCTGGGCTGGCCCTGCCTGCCTCCTGACCACTGATACTGGAGGCCCTGGAAAGCTCAGGGCAGCCCCTCCCCTGTCCTGGGCAATACTCACCGATAATGATGACCTTGAGGGGCTCTGAGCTGCTAGCACCCAGGTGGTCCTTCCTCCAGTTGCTCATGGCTGCAGCTGATGGGGGGCTTGGCGCTGGCAGCTGACCTGGAGGCACAGGGAAGGAGGGGCCACTGGGTGAGCGTTGGGTGTCATGTGGTCCCTTCCCACCTGTAGTATAGGTGTCCTGTGGCCCTCAGGGTCAGGTCCAAGTCCTCCCAGAGGATATAAAATTGCCAGTCTCTCTCCCTCACACCTGCTCCATTCCAGCCAGGCCCTTTCCCCTCCCCCAATTCTTCAGGGTCACCTCTGCCTCTCTGAGCCTCAGTCCACTCTCCCCATCTCACCAATGGGGCCGTAACAATACCCGAAGCCTATTATTCACCTTCCATGAGGCCCCCTCTGCCCAGCCTGAGGGCCAGCCGAGAACAGCACTTCCGTGCCGGCCATAGCGCCAGCCTGCACTCCAGCTACAGGTCTTGGTGTAGGCTGGTGGACTTTGGACCCATCACCTGGCCCTAGCAAGGCACTTCCTAGCTGGTGACCACGACCCATTTCTGGACTTCCCTGGGTCTGTTTCCTCATCAATAAAATGGGCTGTTGGGGACATAGTGAGGTCATGTATGTGAAAAAATCTGCCGCTAGGGAAAGACCTGAGCTCATTGCCTACCCTAGGGGCTGGGCCTGGAGAGGGGGAACTTTGGAAGCCTAGAGTAACTTGGTTTGGGAAAAATGCCTATAAACCTGAACATTTCTGGAGCATCAGCGCCCCCTGCAGGCCACAGACTAAAATCACTCAACAGGACCCAAACCCAGTTCTTAGGGTTGTAGGTGCTGGAGAGTCCAGATCCACTTCACATCCCCAACCCCTCTAACAGGGCCCCGCCTTACCCACTGTCCAGCAGCCCTGCCGTCCTGAGGGCCACAGGCAACATCCAGGTGAGTGTGTGAGGAATGGGTGGGCGTTTGGCACTTGCTATCTACTGGGTATTTAGCAGAATTTTCTCAAGTCCTCCTCACACTAACCAGATGCAGAAAGTACTGTCAAGGCTACCATCCCGTGTAACAGGTGTGTAAACAAGGGCGTAGAGAGGTCGCACAAGTTTCTCAGTGTCTTGCAGCAGCGTTTTCAACCAGGGCTAACTGTGCCCAGGCTTTGCCTGTGACCATGTCTGTCCCCAGGTATGACCCAGGGCTCCTCGCCTCATCTTGGGCCTTGGGCCGGGGACAACCACCCTCTCCTGTCGGGGTGAGCCTCCTGTCCCCCAGCATCTTCCTGGGGAGACAAAAGGTAGCACCCAGCTGACACTGGGGTGCACGGTCTCCATGCCTGGTTCCCTGTGTGCCCGAGGAGAGGATTTGAGGCGCATCACTGCCACTCATAACAACAACAGGCTACCATTCCTGTATGTCTATGGAGTGGCTTGGTGCCAAGTATGTTGTAAACACTGTGTCCATTAACTAATTGAATCCTTATTTAACTGGGCTGTTATAAGTACTCTTACAATCACTCCCATATTACAGATGGGGAAACTGAGGCCCAGCAAGCTTCTTACAGCCTGTACGGTGTGCCAGGAGTTCTGCCCTGGCTTGCACGGGCCCAGCTGGCTGGAGCCCAGGCCACCTCTTTGCAGAGTGCAGTGTGACAGGGTGTGGCAGCTCCTGCCAGAGGCCCTTCCCCGCCTGAAAGTGTAGCACACGCGCCCGTCCCTGCTCGCCCTACTGCTCTGTCCCTGGGCTGGTGCTGGGGAGGGAGCCAGGGGGCCGCGTTCCCAGCTGGGTGGGCAGGTTTCTCAGTAACCACCGCGGCCCTGGAGAACAGGGCGGTAGCTCCCAGAGCTCTCCTCTCACTCTCCTGGTGCCTCCAAACAGCCCTGGCACCGCCCCTGGTCGTCACTGTCCCCGGGAGTAACAGCAAAGTGGACACCTGTGTCCTTGCTAAATGCGCCCTGTGCTTGAGCTCCTTCAAGCCTCACAGACACTGCTTTGCAGATGAGAAAACTGAGGCTTGGGGAGGCGAGGCTATGCCCCTGAGGTCCCAGAGCCTGTGGGTGATGGAGCTGTGGGTGACGGAGCTCGAGTTTGATCCCAGAGGGCTGAGACCACCTAGTCCCCCCATGTCCTCCCAAATGAGTATGCGAACCTGCTCCGAGCCCCCTGGCACGCCCACGCAGGCCACCGCTCACCACCTCTGTCTCTGAACCCTCCCAGCACCAGTGAGGAGCTGACGACCCCTATCACCCGCCCGGGAGGCGCAGGGGCCCCGTTACCCCCAGGGCTTTGGACTCCAACCCCAGTGCTCACTCCCAGAAGCTTCTGGATGTCGTGCACTTGAGGTCACCGCCCAGGGCCGACCGGAAGGGTCATTTCCTGTGCAGCGACACGGCCGTCCCGGAGACCTGAGCAGCGTCCAGTTCCCATAACCTCGGAGGAAGGCACACCGCCAACGCACAGCAGCACAGCTGCCAGTTTTCCTGTTTCCATTCTTTTCACGCTTCTTAGCGTGTGGAGCCAGGCAGGCAGCGTTTAATGTTAACTTTTGTTTCAGCCCCTCTGGCTGAAGAGGGCAGGTGTCATCTAAACAAAGTTCACATTGCCCTGGCCGGTTTGCTCAGTGGAGAGAGTGTCGGCCTGCGGACCAAAGGGCACGTGCCCAGGCTGCAGGCTCCTCCCCGGCCTGGGCCCTGGTTGGGGCTCATGCAGGAGGCAACCAATGGATGTGTTTCTCTCACATCGATGTTTCTCCCTGTCTTTCCCTCTCTCTCTTCCACTCTCCCTTAAAATCAATGGGAAAATATCCTCGGGTGAGGAGTAACAAAAAAAAACCTAAATAAATGGACATGTAAAAAGTTAACATTAAAAACGAATTCAAAATCACCAAAGCAGAGAAGCATAAACAAAGTGGAAATCAATGCCCTTTCAGAGAGTGTTTCCCGTAGGCTTGCAGCACCATCCTTCCCAGTCACTGACTTCAAGCGGCTCCGAGGCCCTGGGACGCCTGCGTGGCTGCGTGGATTGGGCGCCTCTGGTGGCCTGGAGCCCGGACACCTGGACCCACAGCAGCCTCTCCGGGTGGGTTTTTTAACCAGAGGGAGGCCGGAGGTCAGGAGGAAGGAGGTGGCTTGCCTAGGCCGCCCAGGGGTGTCTGAGACAGGCCCACGCGCACAAATCCAGCCCCTGGATACCTGTCAGTGCCACCAAGCAGGTGACATGAGCTGTGGGCGGGGAGGATGAAGAGGCCCTCTGTGGCCGAGCCTCTCCCACCTGGAGGCCCGAGAGCTCCGAGGTCCCCAGGCTTCCTGATCTCAGCCCCTCCCTCCTCCTCCCTTAGAAGCCAAGACCCTGGGGCCCGGGCCGTGCTTGGGCACCAGGGGTGAAGTGGGGAGGGGGGGTGCTGCCCCACTTGAACAGGAGAGACGGGACCCCAGGGGAAGCACCCAGTCTGGCTTCAAGACCCAGTGGCCTCGAGACACTGGGCAGCATGCCTGGAGTTAGCCACACCCCCCTCTCTCTCCTGCCAAGAGCAGCATCACATGGGCAGGGTGAGCTCCGACTGCGGGCAGCAGGGCAGTTGTCCTGCTGAGGTTGCCAGGCACCTGGAGGTGGGCATGGCCAGGAGGAGGAAACTGGCGGTGGGGGGAGAAGCATGCGGGCTGGGAAGCCAGGGTGGGTCTCCTCTCAGGACCACCTGGGAGCTCCCTTGCCTGGCTCCAGGGCCCTGCTGGCCACCCCTGCCCAGGACAACTACCATGTCCCACCCCCATGCCTTGCCCAGCCCACTCACCTGACCTACGGGGGACCAGGGAGACTGCTGAGCCTGGTCTGGTCTGGTCTGGTCGGACACTAGGAGAGCCCGCGAGGGAAGACGCTCATTACCCTTTAGGGATCCGAGAGGCTGTGAAAGGCCAGGGCAAGCCAGGGTATTTCAAGAGGCGGGTGGTGGGCGGGGCCAGGAAAATCACTTTCATAAGCGTGAGTCAGCAGGGGCCCCTGGATGAATGAACTTGGCAGTCATCCTGCCTGCCCCAGGGCCAGCCTTAAAGGGGTCCCCCCACAGGGCTGTCTGTGTGGCAGAGGGACTTGGGGTGACCAGGCTGCCCCCTACCCCACTCCACCCTGGGGGCTCAGTGAGTGAATGGAGGAACCAGGACGCTGAATGAGCCAACCGGCAGTTCCCTTAGGGAGCAGGAGAGGATCTGCACCTTTAAGTGGAGAAAGACTTCCCTTCCTTCACTCCCCCTGGCTCCGTGGTGTCTCCACTCTGCCCCCCACCCCCCCAAAACACCCTCTGGCACCAAGCTGCCCAGCTGAGAACCCGGCTCTGCCACTTCCTGGTCAAGCTGCCTCAGTTTCCTCATCTGAAAAATGGGGTCAAGTAACAGAGTGTTCCACTTGGGGTGGGGGTGGCATTTAAATGACCTCATCCTGGGTTACCCCGCCTAAAACATGAAGCCTGCTCCCTGGTTCTTATTTTTTTTCCTGAGCGCGTAGCAGTGCACACCTCCCATTTTGCTGATTCTTACTTATTTTCTTGTCTCGCTCCCCAAACCAGGATGTGGTTCTGTGTGGGGAGGGAAGCGTAACTGTCTGTTTTATCCCATGTCTCCAATAGTGCTCAGCACACAGTCGGTGCTCCAGAAGAAGGAAGGGATGGAGTTGGGACGAGATTTGGCCCATGGACCTCAGTGTGCGGATTACCTGTTATTTTCTTGTCCTTGTGATTGTCCCCCATGTGACTCTCTCTCATCGGGGGACTTCCCTGCCAGCCCTGCCAGGGATGGGCGTGGTGACAAGTGGGGCACCAACTTGCATGTGAAACTTAAGGGGTGCCCAAAGCACTGAGAGATCAAGAAAATGTCTTAATGCAATTTTTTTAAAAAAATCAAAATTAATGCAAAAAATCTAGGGTAAACAAAATACTAAAATTTCGAATGAAGACGGGCTGTGCCAGGGCTGTGCTGAGCCACAGGGAGGCCCGATGCAAAGAATCAGAACACTGCTGCTGTCTTTGTTTAGATTCCGAGCGGTTCTCAACCTGGGGGTCGCGACCCCTCTGGGGGTCGAACGACCCTTTCACAGGGGTCGCCCAAATACATCCTGCATATCAGATATTTACATTACGATTCATAACAGTAGCAACATTACAGTTATGAAGTAGCAACGAAAATAATTTTATGGTTGGGGGTCACCACAACATGAAGAGCTGTATTAAAGGGCCGCGGCATCAGGAAGGTTGAGAGCCGCTGGTTTAGAACTTTGCCATTTTACTCACCCTGCATTTGGCATTATTTTTTCTTTTAAAAATATTGCATGAACGCACTGTGTGCCTCGATTTTTGGAGTGCTGTGCGCCCCTTGCAGTTTGTGCCAGAGGTGATCTCTCTCCCAGTCCTGGCACCAGGTCTGACTGCAGGGCTCCTTTCAGGGACAGAGGGTGGGGCACCTCAGAGAATGAGAGACCTGCTGGGACCTGCAAAAGAGAGGGAGTGAGGGAGAGAGAGAGAGAAGCAGAGTGCTGGCACAGGGCGGGGCTGGGGAGCACCCAGAGGGTTTGGGGGCAGCACGAGCTGCTGGGGTGAGGAGGGTCCTGGGTTTAGGGAGGAGGTCAGGCACAGTTGGGTTCATGGCCAAGGGCCCCAGGGGCTGGGGAGATGAGTAGGGAGGTGCGCAGCACAGGGCCAGCCCTGCCCTAGGCCCCACTCTTCTGCCTGCCGGTCCCCTGGGTGCTCCTGGGAATATGCCGTGTGTCAGGACTCACCCTTAGAAGGGCCCAGCACTTGGTTTAATGCTCTGTTGTCATCACCTTAAAATTCTGAAGAATTTTTGAACAAGCAATCCCACATTTTCATTTTGCTCTGTGCCCCACAAATTGCATGACTGGTCCAGGCTGGGAATCAGTGACCCCTGGGGTCATGTAGCATGTAGAGTGGGGTAGAGGAAGCCACTGCTCCAGGCCTCAGCACTGCTGCAGGTGTGCTGTGTGACCTTGGGCTGGTGTCTACCTCTCTGGGTCTCTGGTCCAACCATGGCCTTGTTACCAACACTCTTTGACACTCTGAACCCATACCCAACACACAGACCAGGGTTAGTGGGGGTCTGACCACACAGAGAGCCTGTGAGAGTTAGGAGCGCAGTTCTGGGTCTGACCACATGGGGAGCCCGTGAGGGCCAGGAGTGCAGTTCCTGGTCTGACCACACGGGGAGCCCGTGAGGGCCAGGAGTGCAGTTCCTGGTCTGACCACACGGGGAGCCCGTGAGGGCCAGGAGTGCAGTTCCGGGTCTGACCACACGGGGAACCCGTGAGGGCCAGGAGTGCAGTTCCTGGTCTGACCACACGTGGAGCCCGTGAGGGCCAGGAGTGCAGTTCCAGGTCTGACCACACGGGGAGCCCGTGAGGGCCAGGAGTGCAGTGTGGGGACCTACCTCTTGCACAGTCTGCATCTTTCCCCAGCAGCCATGTCGCTGGCTTCACTTCCCCATCCCAGGGCTCTGGTTTGCAACTTCCCAGTGCTTTGGATGTGTAAACTGAGGCAAAGAGAGATATCCCAGAGTCAGAGACTCCCATCAGAGGGCGAGGCTGGGCTTGGGGAAGCCTGGGGATGGAGGTCCAGAGGGGAACCCAGGAAAGAGGGGGCTCCTGGGACCCTCATATCCTGGGTCTGGCGGGTATTTCCTCCCTGACCTGCCCGCTACCCCCACCGGCCTTGACCCATCTTCTGGATTTTGAAAATTTGCTGATATGGAGAATCGTAGGCGAAATGTGGACTTTATTCCCTGTCACAGGTTCACTGGCCAGGAGATTATCAGAAATAGAATGTGTTGAACTGCTTCCAGGAAATTGCAACTAAGACAAAGACAGATCATGTCACAGGCAGACAAAGAGGTGATGGTTAAAGAGTGGGGCACAGAGAGGGAAGGAGCAAGATGCAGGCTGACTTTCAGGGCACTTGTGCTCTTGGACTCCAGTGGGCACCCCAGTTCCTCTAGACCAGTCTTGTCCCCATTCTCCACCACGAGTTCAAGTGGCTATTAAGCACCTAACGCGTGAGCCTCTGAATTCAGATGTGATGAAAGTAGGGCAGCAGATGCACGGAATAAAATACAGGGGCCCAGGTGATTTGGAATTTCAGATAAACAAGAAATAAACTTTTGGAGCCCGGCCAGCATGGCTCAGTGTTTGAGCGTCCACCTCTGACCAGGAGGCCACGGTTTGATTCCGAGGTCAGGGCACATGCCCGGGTTGCTGGTTCAGGAGGCAGCCAATCAACGGTTCTCTCTCATTATTGATGCTTCTATCTATCTCTCCCTCTCCCTTCCTCTCTGAAATCAATACAAATATATTTTTAAAAAAGAAATAAACTTTTGGTATAAATATGTCCCATGCAATATTTGGGATATGTGCATATTAAAATTTTTTTTCATTAGTTATCTGAAATTCCAAGTTACCTGTGCAGCCTGTATTTTCTTTGGCAAATCTAGCTGCATTAAACACACATTAGATTTCAAAGAGTTAGGACAATTTAAAAAAAGAGGAAGGTAAAAATGCTGGCTGCTTATGCAAATTGGGACATTCCCAGGGTTAGACTGACATCCCCCCGCCCCCTCCCCCCATGTTCCAGGAACCCCCTCAGTCCTGAGCAACCAGGACGGTTGGTCGCAGGGGAGCATTGCAAGGGGCTGGCAGCGTGACTTGGGAGCGATGCTTCCCTTCTGAGCCTGTTTCCCCATCTGTGCACTGGTATTGCCAGTGGGGGGCTTGCAAGGTGGTGACAGCTGGTCAATGCAGCTGAGGGAAGGGACCTGGCACATGGTGGGGGGGACTCAGACTCAGCAGTCTGTCCCACTGGTATGGCAGCGCCCCCTCCAGGCCTCCTGCAGGTGCTCTGGAGCTGGGGACCCAGCGGAAGAAGGTAGGGTAGCCTCAGGGTGCTTCTCTGGGGTCCTCTGCCCCATATCAAAACCACCATTCCTCTCTCCCTCAGACCTTCCAAAAGCATCCAAAGGAACCACTCCAGGCCCCTCCTCCCTCCTGTCCTCCTTGTCTCTTCTCCCTTGTGGTGGCTCCCACAGCGCGGCCGCTTGCTGGGCACCTCCAGGCGCTGGCCCTGGGGACAGACGTTTCCTTCCACACAGCTGAGGCTCAGCAGCCAACCTCGACCCTGAGGCCGCACAGCAAGGGCAGCAGAGCTGGGGCTCAAACCCAGGGCCACTCCTGAGAGTCCGGGATCCCCCAGAAGAAAGGCAGGCGACGAACTAACAAGAACAAAGCTCCTTCCTGTCTCAGAGACAAAGGCACGGCCCAGGGACCCTCTTGAAAGGCCCACCCATCCCCACGGCCACCCCTTTACCACGTGCCCGCACCCCAAGGCGCTTCAGGGACCCATACACCTGGTCTGTACCCCAGTCCAGGAGGAAGGCAGGGTGTTATTATTCTCCCATCTACGAGCGAGGAAACGGAGGCCTGAGCGTGCAACACGTGGCCTCCAGTCACGTTACGGCGCTGACCTGGGACGTTCCAGGTTGTGCACAGCGCGCCAGGAGAACTAATATTTGCCGGTGCCTCGCCGTTTACTGAGCCTTGTTATTCACCTTCACTCATTGATCCTCCCGCCGACCGGAAAGGTGGGCAAATATTTTCAACAACAACTTTAGTTTGCAGATGAAGAAACCAGAGAGGCGTGCCCAAGGCTAGGCAACGAAGTGGAGCAGCAGCCCTAGTGGGTTTGGCTCAGTGGATAGAGCGTCGGCCCGCAGACTGAAGAGGCCCCGGTTTGATTCCAGTCAAGAGTACGGACCTCAGTTGCAGGCTCGATCACTGGCCCAGGCCAGGGTGCATTCAGGAGGCAACCAATCCATGTGTCTCTGTCACATCAATGTTTATCTCTCTGTGTCTCTCTAAAAGTCAATGGAAAAATATCCTCAGTTGAGGATTTAAAAAAATAAATAAATAAATGAAGTGGGGCAGGTGTGAGCTGCCAGGGTTCAGCATGGATGTTTGACTCGGGGAGTCCCTGTAGATCCCTGGGAGACAGTGTCAATGCTGGGGAGGGCTGTGCCCTGCCTCCACCCCTCATGGAGACCAGGGAGGTGGGAGCTAGAGAGGGAGTGGGGCAGGCCCCGGGAGGAGCATCTGCACAGGGGTGAATTTGGGGGGGGTGGCGCTCCAGCCACATTCTGTTTCTGGATTCCCTCATTTTTTCCTTAAAAACCAGGGGGAAAGCTTTGGCTGAGAGTGAATGTGCTTGTCCCACAGTCAGGGTGGACAGAAGTCCAGCCCAGGAGTCAGACAAGCTGGGATTCTGGCTCCATCACCTTCAGCTGTGTGACTCTGGGCAAGTGACTTAACCTCTCGGAGCTTCCATTTTCTTGTATATGAGATATGGATAATGAGATACGGCTGCACATCAGAATCACTTGGTGGTGGTGGTGGTGCGGGGAGGGGGGTTGAGGGAATTTGAAGATACATTAATGCCCAGGCCCCAATCCCAGGGATTCTGACATCACTGGGCTGGGGTGCGGGTGGACATGGGGAGTTTCACTGGCGATTCCCACGTGCAGCGGGGCGGTGCCTCTGACCCTGTGGCTGTTGGAGGAGGAGCTGAAAAATACAGTGTGGAAACCATGTGAAGTCTTGTCTTGGGAAGAGCCAGGCTATGGGGCCGGCAGGGGTCAGCTGGTGACCCTGATGGGGGCCTTATGAAAAGCCCAAAGAACCATCAGCGCCACCAACGGGGGGAACCTCGACGTCATCTTGCTCATTTACTGCGACTCGGTTTCCCTGACTCAGCTCGATAACCTCTGCAACTCCTGTGTCCGACTCCCGAGAACCGTTCAGTCACCGTGGTGAAGGCTCAGACAGGACTGTTCTGCGGCCTTTGGAAGCGGCAGTTGCAGAGCCGGGTGGCAAGGTGGCGACTCTTTATGACAGAGGCGAGGGCGGCAGGCTACGAAATTATGGGGCTGCCGTGCTTGATGTGTGGGCCCGTGGGCAGGCACTGGAAAGGAATCAGGGAAAGAAGAAAAGGAAGCTACAGTGATGGCCGGGGCCCAGGAATCTTACATGGATTTAAAAAATTCTAATTTCCATTATCTTTGTATAAACCATAATGATCATAAGTAAGAACAGTTTGGGACAAGGATTTCCTGTGTTCTATTTGGTTCACTGATGTATCGCAATGCCTAGCTTGGTGCCTGGGACACAGTAGTGGCTCAGTAATTTGAATGAATGAATCACTCTTGTTGCTTTCAGACTTCCCTTAGAACATTTTTTAACAGAATGGCCCCTCCTGGCTCTATATCGTATGCATATGGGTTGGCAGGCCTTCCATATACTTAAATCTTTGACGACAATTTTGAATTGGTCAAGGTTGAAGACAGAGCCCTTTCCTGGCCCTGGGAGTCCTGCAAGGGCCGGGCCCAGGCCCCTCAGCACTCGGAGAGGGGGCTTGGCAGCATGAGGAGGCTGCAGACTCCAGACTGCCAGGGCGTGACTGAGCAGCCCCTGCTCTCAGGCCTTCGAAGGAGTATGTGGTCCATTCTACTCCACGTTCATTGCCATCAACAGAGAGGCCAGGAGCAGCCCTGGGACTGCTGACCTAGTTTCTCTCTGGCATCGTGACTGTTGCCCTTTGTCCCTGGGAGGCGGGCATCACTTTTTTATTTGCCATATATTCTGCTAAAAAAAAAAAAAAAAAGCCCTGTTTGCCACTGTTATCCAGTTTCACAAACCTTCAGGCCTTGACTTTTCGGGCAGGTGGGGTCAGGGCCCCGGCGAGCTAATTTAGTGGCAGGTGAATTCGACCTTTTCCCGGCGACAGCACAGACCAGCCCCGTGCGGAAGAGCAGCTGTGCCAGCAGGGAGTCCACGTGGGCACAGGGTTCCAAGCCCTGCCCTTTCTACTGAGGCCCTACTGCCTCCAGAGTCTCTTTCCAACTAAATGGCAAAGTAGGCCCTGCACTCCCTGCTGAGCCACCTGCTGGGGTGCCCGCTGCCCTTAGTCTGACCTGGAGGCCTCTCCCATCAGCCCTTCCTGGGCCTCCTCCAGGCCCCCAGCACACGATGCCATCCTCACAGCCTCCCCCTGCTCTGCCCAGGACACCCCGCCTTGCTTCCCTCTGGTTCTGGGCAGACCTTTCTAGGTCCATCTTGGATTCTCTGCTGTTCAACGTGAGGGTACCTGGAGCTTGCATTTCCTGAGACCTACTGTGTGCTGGGCTCCTACTAAGCACTTTACAAGCATGTTTGTGGTTAACCAATAGGGCCCCTGTCCCTGTGGACAAGCCAAGAAGTGCTTGACACCCAAGTGTCCTGAGTTAGAGTGAAGACATGGAGGAAGTGGGGGTGCTGGGGCCACGGAAGCCCTGCTGGAGGGGTGGCACTTCGGCGAAGCGGGTGTGGGCCCTGGAGAGTGGGGTGGGGAGACGAGGGAGGCAGGGCAGTTGCTCACGTGCAGAAGCCCAGGCTGGAAGGGAAGAGAGGAGAGGCCGGGATGACGCCGAGAGGATGGTGCCCTCCCCACAGCCTG